TACCTCTGTCCCCACATCCTGCCTGGAGTTCTCTGCTTGTTTCAAGTAAAATCATTGACTTCAAGTTGTTCCTCAGGGTCTGTGCCTGGGGAGCCCCACGGAAGCAGGACGTCACTTTCTCCATGTGCCCTCCCCCCGTGTCCCCATCCTACGTTCCGTGGCATGGCCCCTGGGCCCCCAGCTCATTTTCTTATCATCTTATGAGTCAGACAGGTCCCTTCCCCTGCACTTGAGCAGGGTTTCTAGAAATGGGCTCTTATCTTTGCATCAGCCACCTTTGCCCCCTCTGTCACACAGGGTCCAGGTCACATGTTGCTGACCACAGGAAGCTTCCTGTGCAGGGAGGGGAGGGCCCCAGAGGCAAGTTTGAAGCCGCCTATGCTTTGCCCAAACCTCTGGTCACACCAGCTACTTAGTTTTAAACTCAAAAGTTAATTACATTGTAAATAACTTAACTCATATAACTCACATTTGAAGTGTTTGGCAGGTGCATGTGGCTTATAATAACCAAACTGGTTTAAAAATATTTGCATCTTCAAACCTTGTGCTCTGGAGCCAAGCTGGGCTGGGAGCTGAATGAGCCTGTTGGATTGGTGAGCTGGTTGCGAGCAGCTTTGTGTGGTCTCCAGGCTCCCCAGAGCCTCCAGGTGTAAGCAGGCCCCCACATGGTCCTTTGTGGTTACCTGCAGGCAGATACTGCTGCGTAATGCAAGAGAGAACCTCTGGCTTAGAGTTAAATTTGTAAACAATGTTTTATTTACTTTCTGATTGAACCACAAAAAAGAGAAATACTTCAAAGCCTCCCGGCCAACCTGAGCTCCGTTGCTTGGGTTAGAATACTCCAAAGTGCACTTCCTCTGCCACCTGAGCAGACAGGTGGGGACAGTGGTAATAGGGGTCAGGGCCACTCACCGAGGCTGGGGACGGACAGAACGGCCCGGCCGAGGACGTGCAGATATCTCCACACATGTGGCTGGGAAAGGGCATGTGTTTTCTGGTGTTTTGTTTTTGTTTTCTGTTTTTGACATAGAAGTTTTTCTCATTTGGGCTAAAATTAGGTGTTGACAACTCCTCTGTAAGACCTGGCTTTTAATACTGGCAGTGGGGGACAGGACAGGGTGCTATCAAAGGTGACAGGGAGCTCCGAGGGCAAGGTGTATGATGTGCTCAATCTTGCTGCCTCAGGACATGGCTGGGAACTTTTGCCAGTATTTGATGAATGGATAAATGAATGAATGAATGAATGAATGAATGAACACAAGCAGATGACCCAACGAGCAGGCACCACCTGAGTCCACCCTAGTGAACAAGGGCGAACGTACCCGTACCTCCGGCTCCTGATATTTAGCAAGAGCATAATGTATTTGGGCTCTGGGGTGCATGGAAATGGCCCGATCCAGCTTCGTTGTTATGTGGATGAAGAAACTGGAGTCAAAGGAAATCCAAGAATTTGTGCCAAGTTGAAAGGGGAGACACTACAGCTGAACGTTTGACTAGCAGTATAGCGTTTGATTTTTAAAATATAGTTGTTAGGTTTTATTTGAATAGGTAACACATCTAGTGACTCAAGTTTCAAAAGGCACAGGCTACCCTCCTGGTCTTTTTCTCCAGCCACCCATGTTCCTGTTAAAGGCACCTATTGGTATTGGTTTCTTTAGGAGATGATTTGCACAACTAAATACAAAGAAAAATGAGTGTGTGTGCATGTGCATGGGTGTGTGTTCTAAGCATACTGATGTGCTTAGAATATGGGTCGTGTCCCCCAAAGCACCACGTGTTCAAAGACTGGTCCGCAGAGCGGCAGTATCAGGCGGGCTGTAGACTTCTAGGAGGCTGGGCCTAGGGAGATCCGCTGGGCGCAGGGGCTGCCCTTCAAGGCGACTGCAGATGCTGGTGCACCTCTGTGCCCAGCTTCCTCATTTGTGACCAAGGGGTCCCCTTCAGCGTGGGCTCTCTGCTGTTGCCGTCTGGCATGCTCACAGGAAGCTCACAGGCAGGTGCTGCTGGATCTCAAACTGGAACCTCCAGAACCTGAGCCGAACACCTTTTCTTCTCTAGAGGATAGCCTCGGGCATGTCACTCCAGTAATGCAAAGCTGACCAGAACACACACACACACACACACACACACACACACACACACACAATCCGCTCTGCCTTGTCCTTTGGCTTTTATAGCCAGCCATGTACTGCTTCTCGGGCTTTGGTCCTTCCCTCACACTACCTCGTGGGCCAGCTGTTCTCTGGGGGCTCCTGGCACCCTCTCCTCAGCCACTGTTTTCTTTCCTTGCCTCCACACTTGCATTCAGCTTCTAACTTTACTCCCTTTGTGGTTCTGGGTCCTCCAGCCCACACTCCACATGTCACCAGAGTGACCTTCCTAACGCACAACATTTATTGTTTTACTCCCCTGTTCTAAACCCTTCCTGTGCTTTCCTAACAAAGCCCCTGATCCTTGGCCTGAGCTTCACGGCATTTCCTTGGCTCAAAACATCTTCCCCCAAATTCTTTTGCTTCCTAAATCCTGCCTGCCTGCCAGAGGGCTTCTCAGGAGCCACGTGCTCCATGAAGCCTTCCTTCCCTCAAGTTCCCACTGGAAATGCGTTTTCCCTTCCTGGCTTAGGCACAGCAGTAAGTGCCTATTTTTGTACTGGAGTCATTTTTTTCTATCCTGTACCTTCTACAGGACTGGAAGCTTAATGGGAGCAGGGGCTGTGTTTGTGGATTAGGCAGCTTTTCAGTGCCCAAAAAAGATACCTGGCAAGGTCTGCCACCCATCTGAGCAGTAGCCAGGCCCCCTTGAGCCATGGCTGTGGTGACTTGTGACTGCCTGGTGGCTGAGCACCGTGGAGTAGAATCCTGGAAAGCAAGCTCCTAAGGGACCCTTCTGTAACAGGGATCCCAGAGAATCTCTTTTCAAATGATACCCTTATGCTTTTGCACCTTGAGCCTGTGTGTGTGGTGGGTGAGGGGTCTTGCTGCTTCTTAAGATGTCCTCTAGGCATCTTAATTTTTTGTCTCTGCTAAAAATATTTGGGCTGTTTTTCATGGTGTAAATCTCTTTACACGTGGTCCCCTTCAGGCTAAAATTTAACATTTTCAAATATTTCTGTTTTGCTTTTTGCTCACCCAACTCTCACTATAAGTCTGGGTAAAGCAGGCAGAGGTACTCGTGACACAGCCAGAAGCCTGGGCTGCTTTGAGATTTCCTCCACCAGATCGATGAGTCCATCACCCTTAATCTCAGCCTTGTGCAGAGTCACAGGACATGAGAAAAATGTAGCAAAAATTAAAAAAAAAAAAAAAGGTTGTGCCAGAGTGTAACACTCATGCATGGCTTTTCATCTCTTTCCAAATGAGGTCCTCATTCTCAGCTGAGCCCTCTTGAGCCTGGCCTTCATTGTCTGCGTTCGCAGCATGCTGACCAGCAGAGCTCGGAGCACAAAGCTCTTACAGAATGTTAGCAGCAAGCTTCCCCATCAAGCCCTTCTAGCCTTTTAGGGCTTCGCTAGGTCAAATCTCCGAGTCCATCCAAACTCCCACCACAAACCAGCTCCAAAGGCTTCCAAACCACACAGTTGGATACGCACTCAGCAACAGCCACACTCTCCATACTGATTTTTTATATTAGCCAGCGTTCTTATTGCTAGACAGGATAACAACACTCACAAGTTAAAGGACCAAATATTTATTCAGCTGGAGGTTTCAGAGGATTCCGTCCATGGTCAGCTGGCTCTAAGCCAGAATGACACGGCAGAAAGGTGTGGCAGAGCAAAGCTACTTAGTTTGTGGGGGTGAGAGCAAAACAGAGAAACCACGTGAGAGGGATGAACGAAGGGCCGGACGTAGTTCCCGGGTCCCAATACCCAGAGATGTGCTTTGCGAATCCCCTAGGTAGCTCCCAAGTGGATCGACTTGGCTGTCACAGTTTGTTACATGTTGTTGAATCGTTATTGAAACAAAAGCAGTGTGTTTGCCTCTTATCTGTGTCACCTGACAGCTGGGTGAACAGCCAGTGGACTCGCTGGACACTTCACATGTGCTCCTTAGTGAGAGACGCACATTGAACAGAAACTTGGAACTTGCTCTCCCAAGAAGCCAGAAGCAGCAAGAAGAAAGAGAAATGAGGACCTGGGCCCTTCCTCGGTTTCTTCTCTGTTTACTAATTTTGCATTAGGAGTTGCATTGCTTCCTGGGGGTGTGGTTCGCCCAAGTTCCATTTGTGTTTGTGTCTCCCACAGCTTCTAGTACAAGGTACGCAATGTAGACACTCAAAGAAAGCTCAGCTGAGCAAGTCTGGGGGCTAGAAGGCCCCAGGAGAGCACTCGGCTGTGGAGTGACATTGGCAGCGACACACCGTGATGAGCTCGTCCTTAGCATAGCCACATCCGGGGGGCCTTTGGCGTTTCCTCCGACCACCATGAAATCTTAAATCCAGCGATGAGCCTGAGTATCTCTAGGAACCTTTTGGCCGGAGCAGTTGTTTTCAAAGTGGGGCGCGGGGCAAGGCCGAGAGCCACTGAGCTAGAGCTGCAGAACCCCATTTTGAGCCCAACACTTCCCTGTCCACACATGGGTAGGGGAGGAGGCCCTGGACCTGGCCTGCCCCAGGAGGACAGCGTGCACCCTCCTGGCCTATGGGAGCCACTCGTGGGAAATCTGGTCACTCGGCATAAGCAGGAAATCAACAATCTATTAATAATATCTGAAGCTGGTATGACATGGTTATTGTGCTGCTTGGGACCATCTATCCACATACAACTACTCCTCCAAATACACACGAAAGCCTTTCATTAAGCAGAGAAAGAGTGAAGCACATCAGGAAAGAAAGCAGCTGCCATACCGCCTTTTGTGCCGTGTGGCATTTGTGTCAGTAGCTGACTGACGTAAAGCTCTAAGTTATAAAACGCGTCACCCATTTGGGGCCAAGCATGTAACTATGTGAGTGACAGATGAATCAAAATTCAGGTAACTCTTCAGGAATCAAGCAGGGTTTTCTTGGCTAATGAGGAGGACGCCGCTGAGCTCGCGGTCTCCATCCGAAGGCAGCTTTTGGCACCAGATCTAGAACACCACGGAGAGCTCCGGGTCCCCGGAGGACGGGGAGATGGAGCTGCTTCTCTCCAGCTTCTCGCCGGGGAGGAAGGGGAGGTACTTGCTCAAGTAGGCCGCCACATGCCTGTGGAAGAAGTGGCGCAGGTACTTCCGGAACCTCTCGCCCACGAAGGCGTAGATGATGGGGTTGACGCAGCAGTGGGTGTGGGCGATCACCTCTGTCACCTGCAGGGCCAGGTCCAGCTGTTTGCTCCCCTCACAGTTGTCCAAGAAGCTCACTTCAAAGGCAGAGAAAAGAAGAACCAGGTTGTAAGGTGTCCAGAAAATGAAGAAGACCACCATGATGACAAAAATGAGCCGGATGGCCTTGTACTTCTTTTTATTGGGACATCTAAGCAGGGTTCTAATGATTCCCGTGTAGCAGAAAACCATGAGAACCAGAGGGAGCATGAGGCCGAAGATGTTCATCCTGAGAGCTTGGAAACGCTTCCAGTGGTCTTCTTCATCATGCGGGTAGACAACATCGCAGCTAAGTTCTTCGAAGTGCCCGTGGGTCCCATGGAAGATGAGCTCAGGAAGGGCAGCGAGCCCCGCCAGACCCCAGGTGATGACACTGGTTATGACACCAAAAGTCACAGTCCGGGCTCGCAGAGCAAACACAGCGTGAACGATGGCCAGGTACCTGTCGATGGTCAGCAGGATGATGAAGAAGATCTCACTGTACAAACCCATGCAGTACAGGCCAGACAGGAGCTTACACATGAGATGGCCAAACACCCACTTATTCCACGCAAGGTAGGAAATCCAGAAGGGCAGCGTGAAGAGGAGGAGCAGGTCAGAAATGGCCAGGTTGAGCAGGTAGATGTTGGTCATGATTCCGAGCCTCCTGTACTTGGTGAGGATCACAATGACTACCATGTTTCCCAGGAGGCCAACAATGAACACCAGGGAGTACAATGGGGGCAGGATCTGGGCCCCCAAATTCCGGATGCTGGTTTTAGAACAAGGCGGTGCAACCTCATAGTCATAGGTTGTGGTCCGGTAGAACTCAGCCTCCAGCTCAGCCTCCTCTCGGTAGGTCGTCATCCCACCGGCCCCTGTGGTGGAAGAAGCAACAATCCCACAATTAACAGGGTCACCTCTGCTTCCTTATCCATACACGGGATCTGGTGGAACACGCCTGATGGCTCACCCACCCAGCAGAGCTGTGATGAACAGCACGGGCATTTCGGGGATTCTTGAGCATATATTTCGAAAGCTGTGAGTGGGGTCAGGAAGTGAGACCAGCAGATACAGGAATGGCAGGTAGACAAGGGCAAGGCCTGGGCGAAGTGAGGTGTGAGTAAACCGAGATTCGTAAGCACCAAGTCAGTGCATGTCCCCCAGACCTAGTTACCCATCGTGAGGGCAGGCCCGGGACTCAGCCTCTGGGAGCGAAGCCCAGCCCAGCCCAGCCCAGCCCAGCCCAGCCTGCGGAGAACTCTGTCTTGGTTACTTTTCTCTAGTTGCTCAGACAAAATACCTGATACACCAAATTAAGGAAGCGAGGGTTTACTTAGCTCAGAGTCTGTGGAGGCTTCAGTCCATAATCAGCTGGTGGGAGCTGGGGTGAGGGGCAAACAGCTCAAGGCGGCAGAAGACAGCAAAAGCAATGACAGCAAAAGGGGGGAACCAAGAGGCTTTCTCTCCTTCGTGCCGTACGCTGGCTGCCTGCCGCCCTGGGGGGCCTGGCACTGGCACCACCTCCGTGCCCGCCTCTTGCACAGGACGAGGCTGTCTATACAGTAATGACTCTGGCTGGCTCCTGGATGGGGCCCTTCATTCAACTTCTAAACTTCTCAAGTTGGCAAAGTGTATCAACCAGTGTCCTCGAGGCGGGAGAGGCAGAAAAGACAGAAGACGGGATGAAAGGGGGGAACCTCCCCTCCCTGTGTCTCTGACATCTGGGGACTCTGAGACTCAAAGCTTTCTGGATCCCTCACTGTTATGGTTTGTGTCTGAATGTCCCCCCAGGCCTCATGTAATCATGAGGTGCAGGCTTTTTGGAGGCAGCTGAACCTAGAGTTTGTGATCAATTCATGGTCTAATTCTGGGATTAAACAGTGTGAGCACTACACCCACCCTAGGGTACATACACTCCCCTGGGGCACATACACCCTCCTAGGGTACATACACCCTCCTAGGGTACATACACTCCCCTGGGGTACATACACCCTCCTAGGGTACATACACCTCCCTGGGGTATATACATCCTCCTAGGGTACATACACCCCCCTGGGATACATATACTCCCCTGGGGTACATACACCTCCCTGGGGTACATACACCCTCCTAGGGTACATACACTCCCCTGGAGTACATACATCCTCCTAGGGTACATACACCTCCCTGGGGTACATACACTCCCCTGGGGTACATACACCCCCCTGAAGTACATACACCCCCCTGGGGTACATACACTCCCCTGGGGTACATACACCCTCCTAGGGTACATACACCCCCCTGGGGTACATACACCCTCCTAGGGTACATACACCCCCCTGGGATACATATACTCCCCTGGGGTACATACACCCCCCTGGGGTATATACATTCCCCTGGGTACATACACCCTCCTAGGGTACATACACCCCCCTGGGTACATAAACCCTCCTAGGTACATACACACCCCTAGGGCATATACACTCCCCTGGGGTACATACAGTAGATAGCATACAATTTTATGGACAAAAAGATTCTCTCTCTCTCTCTCTCTCTCTCTCTCTCTCTCTCTGTCCCCATGTTACTTTTGCTATCTTATACCACAATGAACGTGAACGGTTGTCCCCTGACATGTGCCACCCCACCTTGGAGCCAGTCCATTAGGAACTGAGACTTTTGGCTGAGGAAATAGCTCAGCAGTCTAAGTGCCTGCCTTGCAAGCACAA